TAATTATATATCTTGGTTAAAATAAAAAATAAAATAAGATACAATATTGCTATTTAATACTTTCCTCATGTGTGAATCCTTTCATCTTCACATTTGTCACAATGTTCATTAAATACATTTGATGTTATAATTGTCATAACAAACAATTGCATCACCCAGGTAATAAATAATACCAAGGCCATGCATAAATGAAATTTTTAATATGTGTGTCTACCCAGATCTCTGGGGTTCACAAAAATAAATTATTTTTCCCAATTATCAATTATGGTTTCTTATGAATAATAAATCTGATGTTGATCGCAGGCGTCAGATTTAATTAAAATTTCCTGTCACAAACATGAATAACCATGCTTTCACATGCCCCATAACTGTGGAATTTTCTCCACAGGTGCGCCGCACACATGTTAAAAGGCTTTGGACAAAACATATCTTCTCCTCAGACCAGGCTTGCCTGTTATCATATGGGCATTGTTTGCTGATGAGAATTGACATTCGTGTGATGCTTGCTTTGTGTTATCCCAATCTCTAGAATAAAGTTGGTGTTAAGACTGGCTTGAAAATTCTCCAATTCTGGAGGTTACAACCTGGATTGCTGTTTTGGTTTTTCCCTGAATTTGGAATTTTGAGTCTTGGGTTGCTGTAATTTTTATGAAAAAAAAGTATTAATATTTTAACAATTAATTATTTAAATGTTTATTTTGTTGAAAAAGATATACATTGATAGTGTACATTTTCTGTGCTTAACATCCATGTGACCCTAAGTCTGGACAAAAGATCCCTTTATATGAGTTTGGCTGGTATATCCCCAAGGGCATCCCCTGTCTTGTCAGTGGCATGCCTACTCACCAACAACCCTACCCCCATTTACTAAAATAACAAATTCAGTTGGTCAGACAAAAATTAAAGAAAAGCAGAAAATTTGGGAAAATGATTAATTTATTACAAAACATACCAAAATCCAAACCATTTTTATGACTTTTTCTTGTTGGCCATATTGCTGACAAAGATGTATATAATCATGTGATAATTTTAATCTACAGGACAAAGGACTGATTGGGCAAAACCATTCAATCCCTTACCCAAAATTATAAATTGGTTAATATCAGAGAAACAGAGCATTTAGGAAAATGATTATACAAAACAAACACTATTTTACAACTTTCCTCTTAACATCAGAGCCTGAATGCAATTTCAGGGCCACCAACCCCACCCTGGATTGTGACCTCCTGTGCTAGAAACGAGTTGCAGGTTCTCGTTGCTTTGATGGATCTGGATATTTACATGGCACTAATATTCATCAGCAGAGTTGCGACTTGGTCACAGTGCCATCTTTACCCTGGAGGTAGGATCGTTGCAGTCGACTTTTCGGCTAGCGTGCCAGCAGCCATCTCTGGTGAGGGAAGATTAGTGAAAACATCATTGATAATTGATGCAGTCTCGATAAACTCCAGAGCAGAGCGACCCCCCCCTGGAATTCGGTTGCATCATTGTATCATCGGGGGATGCAAGTCAGATTAGCCTTATGTACACGAGGAAGATGTGAGAATGACTGTAATGTGTTCAAGGTAGCATGCGTGCGTGCTTCAACATCTGTAAATTTCCTGTAATCAAACGTCGCATATTTGAAATGTTTCTTCTGTAACAGTCAGTCATGCTGCCTTGACACCTTCTTGTGATTATAAGATTTATAATAATATTATTAATATTGATTACGAAAAGCAAAATATTATCAATGAAAATCTTGTAATTACCCAGCAAGATCTGCTCTGCGTTTTGATTTCCAATTAAAATGTTTATATAAAATAAAAAATATCAATCAATACAAATAAAAAAAAGTACCTCTGGTTAGTTATTAACACTTCTTCTTTAGGAGACCCAAGCCAAACCAAGCCAAACAACGTTCACGTTTTGTCACCTTGGACTGTCAAAAAATAATTTGTTTTTTGTTTTTCCAAAAAAAAAAACCAATCAATCAATTCGCGTCTGTCCTACCAAAAAAAAACCAATCACATAAATAATTAACGTGTACATGTCGATCAAAACGAACTTTTAAAAAAAACAAAAAACAAAAAATGTCTTCAGAAGCAAGACAAAAAAGAAACAAAAACCAAAATAAAGAACAACACGGGTAAGTGTTTTAAGGATGGTGGTGGGTTATCGCCCACCACTTGCTGTCACTCTAGTTATATATAAAATTTTTTTCACATATGTGAATTTAAATTTCAATTTTCACATGTGAATTTCAAATTCACATAATTTTGATTTCACAAGTTTTAATGGCAACAACAATGATGATAGTGGTAATAATGACAACAATAACAGTGGAAATGATAGATCAAACCAACAACAACCAACTATTCAGGATTTAGAGAAAGTTTTGGAGAAAACTTGCCAACAGTTAGCCCAATCCCAAAGCAAAATCACCCAATTAGAAACTCAAATCCTGCAATTAAAAGAGAAATACGAAGAGAAATTTGAGGAGTTAACCCAGAAAGTTGAGGAGTTAACCCAGAAATTAGAAGAAGTTAAAAAAGAGCCACCTCAATCATCTCAACAACAATCCAGGATCTTTAGTCAGCCTCTTCCTCAAATGTCTCAATCATCACAAATGA